GTAAAGAAGAGAGCGTCAGAGGCCTCGGGTGAGTACCCGAGGTGGAGACTTCGACGGTCAAGTTAGTGCAAGTGCGGTGCAAGGTGGACGAGGCCTGAGGTGTGAACACCTAGACGAGGCCACAAAGGAGGCTAAGAGTTCTCAAGTTCTTGTTCTTAAGTCCAAGTTCCAGTCCTTTACCTTGAAAGGGTTGCCTTCTATTTATACTTGAGGCCGCTTGGAGGTAGGTGGGCTCGGACGGTCCGGATGTGATCTGTACGCCGGGGGGGAGGGGGCGGTCATCCGAGGTCGCCAAGTGCAGTCACGCCATTGGTTCTGGAATGCACGCCAGGCTCTGTTCCACATGCACCCTGATTGGGCCCACCTTGAGCGACGCCGTCTAACACGCGCAGGCCCGCTATTTGGTAAAGCCATGTGCGCCTACATCATTTGCCCGCACTCTTGAGGTCGTGGTGGAGGTCTGAGCTTGAGGACCTCGGCTTTGGCCGAAGAGTGCGTTAATTGTACTAGGAGGCGTTGTTGGGCCTTTTGGATAAGGGTCTCGGCTTCGGCTTGTCGGGGACGAGCATGTCGTGGCCTGCAGTTGCATCGGTACCATAGAGAATTCGGCTGTTTGGGGGCCTCGGCCTCGGCTTCAGTGCTCGTAACGGGTACGGTCAAGAAGGGTCCTTGCTCCCTGTCCTGTCTCTTGCTGGTTCCGAGGTTATATCGTGCGAGGTGTCGGCTTCGGTATATAGTGCCGAGGGAGTGATAGTTGGAGGAGGAGGTTGCTACTTAGCCACGTGTCGAACTGGTCCCGTTGTTGGCGATTTGTAGCCCGTGAGGGAGATGGATTTCAGCAACGGGTGCATGCCGTGCACGACACGGGTTTTCGCTCTGACGGGTCAGAGCCATGTACGCGATGGGTTGTGGCGTCACACTCGTAGGAGAGACGGGAGTCAGGCAGGCCGGGTCACGCGTTTTTCGGTTTGGCATCGTTGGTCAAACCGGTAGACGCGACGAGGAGACCAGTTGGCTCGCCTGGCATCGTTTCGTCTTCCTGAGGTGAGCGACATGTGTCAGTCGCTAGACAGGGCAATAAAGGTGGTCGCTGCGTAGGCGTTGGATCGGAAGTGATCTGGACCGTCTATTTTCCTTTAAATAGGGGACTTGGTTGCGTTTTCTCCCACCACCATTTTCTCCCGCCTTCCTTAGGACTTTCTAGCCTTTGTTTTCTCTAGGTAAACACTCCGCCATCATGTCTTATTCCGACTCCGGCCCAGAATGCTATGAGCTCCCAAACCCCTTGGGGGCGAGCTCCTACCGCACCCTATCACCAGCCAGCCCCATTCGAGGCTCTTTGGTGGCCGAGATCCCATCTCCGAGGCTTGAGGTTGAGGTGCTGAGGGAGAGGACTGCCTCCGTAGGCGCCGAGTGCAGCCAAATGGGCGATGACTCCCTGTGACAGCGCTGCATCGATGATGCCAAGGGAGGCCGAGGGATCCCCCGAGGTGGTAGAGGGGGAGGAAGATCTTGAGCCCAACCCAAGGACGGTGGCTAATATGCCGCCCAAGGGGTGACGATTGGTCGTCTCCCTCGCTCGGAGTTAGATAGTACCTTGGGCTTCGAGCAAGTGAAGGCCTTGGGTTGGAAGTACTACATACCTTGGTCATATAGGCTTAGGGTCCCTGACACTGGTGATCGGCCGTGGACTCCGGAGGAGGGGGAAATTTGTGTTTACCAGCACTTCTTGGAGTTTGGCTTTAGATTTCCCCTCCATCCTCTAATCCTTGAGCTGCTGAGGTGGTACTGCATAACAATTAGCCAATTAGCCCCTAGTGCCCTTAGGACTATCCTTGCCATGCTGGTGGTGGCTCAGCTTCAGGGCGTAGAGTTGACTCAAAAGATCTTCCGTGCCATGTTCGTGCCGAGGCCACATCCTACTAAGGCGAGTATGTATTACTTTCAGCCTCAGAGGGGCAAGCCTGTAGACAACCCTTCATTTGTGCACAACTGGAAGAGCAAGTTCTTCGTTTCTTGTCTTAAGGGTTGGTCATTTAGGTCGGCCTGGGGGGAGATGCACTTAACCGCCGAGAAGTCCATGCCCTTACTTTGTGACGATGAAGCCGACGTGATGACCCACATTCTCGTGTTGGGGATGATCCGGGCCAAGCCTCTAGTGGAGGAGGAGCTCCCCTTAGTTTTCGCCGGGCTTAGTCCTGCCCACCTCTGTAGGAGAAGTCCTGCTGTTGGCCCTTAACACGTCGATCTTTCATTTTACTTGGAGGTATCGACTCTCATTCCACTTTCTTGCAGAGATGCCGATTTACGCGAAGAGGCTGTTGTTGGAGAGGGCCTAGGCCAAGAAGAATGCTCTAGGTGAGGGCATGTCGGGGAGACAGACGCCAAGGAGTCTGCTTCCTACCCGTCGAGAGGATACCTCGGCCCCAAGCTACAGCTAGTGGAGGGGCTGACTGTGGTAAGAGGCCGGCCGAGGGGAGTTGGTAGCAGGAGACCGGTCAGAAGAGGCTGGCTGAGGCACCTCATCCCCCTCAGGGGAAGAGGTTGGCGCACAAAGACCGCCCAATTGAGGGCGGTGAGCGAGGAAGGGAGGCCGTCGTTGCACCGAGGGGGCCTTCAGCAAAGGGGCCCATGACTGGGCCATCATCTGCCCCTTCGTCTTCAACAGAGCCCCGGAAGAGGGGGAGCTTGAAACATGATGACTATTCCGCCCCCGGTAGTCCATTCGGGAGGGGGATTCTATTGATGCCGAGGGGGTCGGCAAGGCTTTGGTTAAGGGGATGATCCCTCAGGGGGATCGTCTCGCCCTGATGAACGGGAACCCCCTCGCCCTCTGGGACCATGGTTTGGATCACCTGGCCAAGGTATGTTTTTCCTTCCGTCGCTTTGCTGGTTGTCTTTTTCGCTTTTTTTGGTTAACTTTGCTGATGGGGATGCTTTCGTTGCAGGTCTGCTGGTACTACGTCGGCTTGGGGGACCGAGTTGGGCTCCTCCTCGATCGCATAAAGAAGTTCGAGGAGAAGAATGAGCGATTCGTGGTGCGGGTCGCCGAGGCCGAGAGCAGCCGGGACACCGCCCTCTTGTCTCTGGACGAGAAGAAACATCTCCGAAAGATGCTGGAGGACAATCTGAAGGCGGATAAGGCTTAGATTGTTGAGCTTTAGGAGTCTTTGAAGAAGTTCGAGCTCGAGCGCGTCTATCTTGATGAGGCCGTGGTGGCAGCCTAGGTGCGAGCGACGAAGGCCGAGGCGAATGCGAAGGACGCCATCCTCATTTGGAAGACGTTGGTGGAGTACCAATGATGCCTCACTGACTACGAGGCTGACTCCTACTTGGAAGGGATCGAGGATACAAAGCTTGAGGTGCTGAGGTTGGCTTCGGATTTCCCGGTGGGCAAGTTGAAGGTCCCTCTAGATGTTGAAACTCTTCCTGCTGAGGCCCCCATCGCTCTTGGTGCCGCTGAGGACTCTATTGCCCCTCCTGCCGAGGGTGATGCGTAGGCGGCCTGCCTTCTAGCATAATGCCCCTGCAAGATGATGACGGCCTTGTCTGGTTTCAACAACTTCACCATCCTCAGCCTCCCTACCTACATGAAATTCTCAGCCCACATGAAATTCCTTCTCACTTTGCATGGACACTAACAGCCGCGACATCACAATGCTGTTTTCCTGGTTCCATTTTTCATGCTCTGCACTTCCAGATCTAGGTTCTTTAATCTTCCCATTGGTATACCCTAATTTTCCCCTTGCAATGATATTACAACTTAATCTCCTTCGACCGCTCTAAATAGTTAAGTCCATCTAGGGGAATAACAACCATCAGGAAGTTCAAATTAATCTCCCCACTGTAAATAGACTATACACCAGAGGTATCTGAGTCCTCAGGAGCCATAAAAGTCACTTTAGGTCATCTTGACAATAAATCCGATTGAAATATGAGGAAGTAGAGAAGAGAGAAAGGAGACGGAAGAAAGGAAGAAGAAAAAGTTTGTAGCAATAGAACAGTGCTGGCGGTGCCAGCTTTTATTAGATTATATAGGGCGACAGAAATGAGAAGGGAAAAGACCCTTGTGCCCCTACTGTAAGTGAGTACAATAACAGAAATAAAAAAACCAAAATAAAAATGCTTTAACTAGCCAAACAGACCCTAACACAAATAAATAATTTATTTCAACACTCCCCCTCAAGTTGGAGCATAGATGTTAATCATGCCCAACTTGTCACACAAATCATTGTGCCACACATGATGAAGACCTTTGGATGGGTGGAGAGCTAAATATTTATCCTTGGTTGGGTGGGGGGAGAATAATTTTACTCTAGTGTTTTCTCAAGCTTACCAACCTATTATCTATCTTTATTGAAAATGCCAACTAAAGTGGTTGAGAGAATTGAGAAGATTCAGAGAGATTTCCTATGGGGGAGGGAGTTGAGGGGGAAAGAAATTTCACTTGGTGAATTGGGTTAAGGTTTGTAAAAAGAGATGGGAGGGCTGGGGCTAAGAAGAGTGATAATCTTCAATAGGGCCTTAATGGGGAAATGGCTAAGGAGATTTGGCTTATGGAGAGAGAGGAAAACTCATTGTGGAGGAGGGTTGGGAAATATGGGGTGGTGACTGGTAAGGTTCGGCTGGGAATCTAGAGAGGTGAGGGCTTCATGGGGGTGAGTGTGTGGACGGGGATATGATATGCTTGATGGGTTGGATGTGGTACTTTTGTTTTGTGCACACAAATACATGTTTGTGCATATGGGTTTAACGGGATTGAACAGGGCAGAATGGCAGAACAGTATTCATGTAGCTGACCTGATATAGTTGGGACAAGGCTGAGATGATAATGTTCATGATTTGTTGTCTGGATGATCCTTATTTTTGTTTTAATATTATCAGACTGGGACTTGAAACTAAATTTTTGTTCCATTCTTCTGGAAAATAGAATTCGTTCCTTTCTTATCTTTCTGCTTCAAGATTTTCTTATTGTCTTCTTTTCCCTGGTTCAAATGTAGAATTTTCAAAGCTAAATCCTATTAACTATGTGCCTGTCCTGGTTGATGAAGACATAGTTATTGCTGACTCATTTGCCATTCTAATGGTTAGTGGATACCATCTTTTCTCCTGTATTCTGTCATAATTGTATTGTTACTTTTGAATTTTAAATGAAAAACTGTTTTAGTATCTTGTAAACTTTTATCATTCATTTCATTTTATTCCATGCATGTACAGTATTTGGATGAAAAATATCCTCAGCATCCATTGTTGCCTTGCGATCTTCAGAAAAAGGCCATCAATTTCCAGGTAACATTGCAATTTTTGTTATTCCTATTTTTGTAATGACATTGATTTTGGTGTAAAGTTGCAAATCACGTTCATTGGCCTTTGGAGCATCATTCTTTACAGAGTATAACATGATACCATGATACCATCACAAAGTGACTCATATTAGTTTGATGTGATGTTTTAGAGTTTATTAATGTACTAGGTGTATTTTTTCAGTAATAGAATAAAATTTATTAAAAAACAGAAAAGATACAAGAGGAGAGAAAGATGACCAGTAATCACCTGAGAGAAGAGAAAGAAATTAACCTCCCAACATAAAAGGAACCTTATCCACCCAAACAAACAGACCTTAAATACTCACAGCATTAAAATTAAAATCAAAAGACAAACCAAACCCCCTCAAACTCAACAACCAAAAAAAAAAAGAAAAAAAACATCGAGCACCAAACCAGGAAACAAAAGACAAACTTTGAACAACTTCGCTCTTCCAACAACAATAGAATTAAAAACACCCATAATTACTTGAAACCACCATCAAAATTTGCCTGTACTTCTTTGTTTCTCTTGTTGAATTTCTTTACCTTCTTGATCTGCCTTATCTCAAAAAAGACTTCCTCTCAACCTACCGAACACTTTGGAGACTTAGAGAATTTCTGGTTTTCAAAATGTTTTCTGCATTAGAGAATTTCTCCACGTACTTCTGGTCTTTATGACTGGCCATGATTCTTTCTAACTCCAATGCCGCATTTTTCTTAGAAGTTTGATCAACAACTTCAACTTCGCCCTCAGGGGTGGTATCCCTTTCTAAAGTGGCTGGAAACAGGCAATGCCAAACACCAACAAACTTGAAATACTTGTCCAACTCCTCCTCCCTACTCTCCAAAGGATATTATTCTTCCCAACTCCTTGAACACTTTCCTTGCAAATTCCTCCCCTCCAATAACATGCAACCCCAAAAGTTTACTCAACTCCACTTCAAAATTTACCATTGTCTTCTCCGGTATTCCATACCAAGGCTGCTCTTGTTATCCTCCACAAGCATATTCCCCTTTTCTTCTATTGCCTCAAGAAACTAGAGTTGAATAAACTAACCACATCTTGTGGGGGAACTCATATACAACCAAAGAGAGAATAGAAGTAATCCCAAATACAAGTCACAAAAGAATAGGAGATTAGTAAATGAGGAAAGGTTTCACCACTAGACTTACAAAGGAGACACACATGAGGAGAAAGGCAATTGCTTTGCCTTCTTTTCTATAGCATGTCATAGGTGTTAATCTTTCTTTCCCAACAAAGAGCATGTACTTTAGGAAGATTTGGTTTGCACCAAATTTCTCTCACCGGGAAATTCACCCCAAAGGTTTTGAATTGATAAAAAAGGTTAAAGAAGGAAGCACAAGAGAAGAGGCCATCAGGACCAGACTCTACCATCCAAGAGATTTTGATCCAAAAAGACCTTTTCCAAAATTGAGAGTAGGATAATAATTTAATAAGTGATTCACACTCATTATCCTTCAAACCCCTTCTAAACCCAAAGTCCCAATTTAAGCCATGTTCTTAGGGGCAAGCCAAATCTAGAAATAGGTTCATTCTTAAGGTTTGTTAATAAATAAAGTACAAGGAGTTCTTAAGGTTCAAACTCAGTGTTAAGAAAACTCTTGAGATGAACAACTTCCTGAGTATCATTACCAGTAACCACAATGTCATCAACATAGACAATCAGAAGGGTCACTAAGGATTCTCTCCTCTTAACAAACAAGGTATTATCCGACTTGTAGAGAAGATGGGCCGAATGGCCCATATGTTGTTTATCCTTTTTTTCTCTTTTATGTTCTTTGCTGTAATGGGCCTTAATCTGGGTTTTATTCTTTCTTATATTATGTATTTTTTATCTGGCTTCTCTGTAAATTACTAAAGTTTAACTTAATTAAATAGAATTAAGGGAGTAAGGGAAGAGATTATGTTCAAAAATCTCTCTCTGAACCCAAGTTGCCGCCACCTTCTTCTTCTTCTTCTTCTTCTCTCCTCTTGAACTCTGATTTCTGCTACTTTCTTTTGAATTTTTGCAACTTCCTAAGCAGTCCTTTCTTCTCAAATGGCTGTTTTTCTTCTTGGTATCAGAGCAGGCTCATTTTTCCCTTTTTTCCCTTACACAGTGTGTATGGAAATTGCATGAATAGTTAAAGAAATCTATTTCAACCCAGTTGTTAGTGGTTTTTGGAGAAAAGGGGACTGGTTTTGTCGTCCTCTTGACAGATTCAAGTGTGTTGCCCGAAACCCTAATTTTCTGGAGAAATTTGATTGCAGGCCCCACAGGGAGTTTGACCTGGGCGCTCAGTGACTGAAGGTCTTCTCATTCTTTTTCTTGAAGATCGAATCAGGTGGATTGGTGTTCTGTGAAGTCTACAAGGAGCGACTGAGTTTTCTCTATTTCTCCCATCTTCCGAGTGTGACACAGGTTACTAGTACGACTGCATAGAGGTTGGCTGACAACACAGTTTTTGTTCTGTCTTAATTTGTTGTTATTCGAAGTTGTTTGAAGTCCTTTTTGAAGTATTTAAGAAGATGAACTCGTCGGACTTTGAAAACAAGCATGTTGCAGAATTCGGACAGGTTCCGGGAGCCTCTGTAGACTCTCTACTGGTTGTGGCCACAGTCAAGCTGGATGGAACTAATTATCTGGCTTGGTCACAATCAGTAAAGATTCATATTTGTAGTAGAGGAAAATGGGGTTTTATCTCCGGGAGCAAAAAGGCTCCTCCGGAAGATGATCCATCATATGAAAGGTGGATGCAAGAAAATTATACTATTATTGGATGGCTTGTAAACTCAATGCAACCACAGATTAGTCAGCACTATTTATGGATGAATTCAGCAAAGGAAATTTGGGATAGTGTTGCTGAAACCTATTCCTAAAAATTAAATGTGGCCAGGGTTTACAAGTTGAGAAGTGATGTGAAGAATTTGAGACGGGGAGAAACCATTAGCTGTATACTTCTCAACATTGAAGTCTTCATGGCAAGAAATAGATTTGATAGAAGCTGTAGCCTGGGACACCACTAATGATGCTGAGACCTACAAAAAACTGGTTGAGAGAAACAGGGTGTTTGAGTTCTTGACAGGGCTAAATGCAGAGTACGACATTACAAAGCAAAATATTTTATCCAAGGATAGTGTCTCATTGTCTCAAGCCTATGCCTTGGTAAGTAGTGAAGAAAGCAAAAGACTTGTCCAGGTCTAAGGGGCTGGTCTAAATGTTCATTTTGCTAATATGGGAGTGAAACCCAAGGGGGTTGCAGGGACTCCAAGTAGCTCAGGGAAGAAAGAGATTATCTGTGAGTACTGTTAAAAGCCAAAACACACTAAAGACAAGTGCTGGAAATTGCATCCTGAGCTCCTACCACTTCGGTTTCAGAAGAAGTCTGATAATATAAAGGCAGGGAGTGCCAATGTTACTGCTGGTCCAGATAGTGATAGATACCAAATTGAAAAGATGACGGCTAGTGAGCAGTTAGTAGCTTATGAAGGCAGAATATGAGAAGTTTGGGAGGATGATCAGTCACCTAGAGGGTGTGACCTCTTCTTCCAACCCTCCAGGAAATTCGACCTCTTTTGCATTTGCTCATTCAGGTATACGGGCTTCTGCCAATCATGCAACCATTTTAGGTAATCCTAGGATCCCTTGGATTATTGATTTTGGTGCTTCTGATCATATGACTAGCCTTTTTACTTTGTTTGTTTCATATGATTTACTTCCTAGATGTGACAAAATCACCCTAGCCGATGGCTCTCTTGCCCCTATCTTCGGCAAGGGAACCATCAAGGCTACAGACTCCTTGGTTCTTCCTTCTGCTCTTCATGTACTCAGACTAAATACAAGCTTGTTATCTGTAAGTAGCCTAACTAAGTCATTAAACTGTTGTATAACCTTCTTCCCTTCCTACTGTGTTTTTCAGGATCTGAAGTCTCAGAAGGTGATTGGGAGTGGCCGTGAGGCGAATGGAATATATCTGTTGGATACTCCTGGACAGTGCCATGAACAACCTGGAAAAGCTGCTTTTGGGTTTACATCTACAGAGTCCATCAGTCGAGTCATGTCATGTCATTTTCATTTGGGTCATCTTTCTTTTTCTGCATTAAGTCATTTATTCCCAGAACTGTTTAAGGGAATTAGTTTGTCCAGTCTTCATTGTGAGTCTTGTGAATTGTCAAAACATTGTAGAAACAATTATCCTCTGAGTAATAAAAGATCTCTTTTTAATATTGTGCACTCTGATGTATGGGGGCCTTACCACTTACCTTCTATGGGTGGCTACAAATATTTTATCTTGTTCATTGATGACTTTTCTTGGTTCACTTGGATATTTTTGATGAAGTTCCCAGAATTGTGAGGCAATTCCATGAATTTGTCTTTACCCAGTTTGATACCAGAATTAAAATTTTCAGATCCGACAATGCAAAAGAATATTTTGAGAAAAACCTGATCTGCTATCTCACTGATTTAGGGGTTATTCATCAAAGCTCCTGTTTTAGGACCCCAGAACAGAATGGAGTTGCTGAAAGAAAAAATAGGCATATTGTTGAAGTTGCAAGAAGTATTCTATTTGCCTCACATGTCCCTACAAAATTTTGGGGTGATGCTGTTATCACTGCTACCTACCTTATAAACTGTATGCCATCTAGGGTTTTAGGGTTTAAGTTTCCCTTCAGTTTTCTTCATCCGGACAAGGATCTTTTTCCTATCCCTCTTTGTGTCTTTGGCTGTGCTTGTTATGTACATATCCCAAGTGTCCAAAGACATAAATTTGAATCAAAAGCCCACAAGTGTATCTTCCTTGGTTATTCCCCCACATAGAAGGGTTACTGTTGTTTTGATCCGAAGATTGGCCTTCTGTATGTCTCAATGGATGTCACCTTTGATGAGCTTTCTTCCTTTTATGGTTCTTCTCTAGAGAGATATTATCCAAAGGGGGAGGATTTGTCACAGGTGTTTGCTCTTCCTCTTCCTGTCCCAATTG